TCCCGCTCTCCACTCTTCTCCATTGATGGTCCCAGGGCCCTCCACTCCTAGACTGAAAAGTTAATCACTCCTCTCCTTGCTACAAAATGTCCACCTTTAAATTTCCAACCCTCACAATCAGTCCTGATAACAATTATTCACTATTGCATCACAAGAGACCCATCTGTATTTCATCAGCCCTTCCTGAACAGGCTGGATACTATTCACTGGAGACTCTACCTTCCTCCACATCCTTTGGATCTAGGTTCCCTCTTGAAAGCTTGTAAACCAGTCACTTCTTACCTTTGTATCCCTCCCCCCATTTTGGGTAGCCAGTGTCTAAGTTGCCCTTCCCTGTTCACTGTGTGGAGGGGGTGGGAATAGTTCTTGCAGTAGGGATTTGTTTCCTCTTTTGAGCTACTGCATTTATGGGTGTAGGTCATGTTTATCGAATTGTATCAGATGATGCTTTTTTCCCCTTCTTTCTTCTTCGGGTTGAGCTCTGTTCATCCAGTCATTGAAGCCAGGTCAAGTGGGCATCATCTACAAGTGTGGGTGTTCCTGTGTCTGTCCGCTCTCTTTTTATCATATGCCTGTGATTTTGAAGTGAAACATTAATGATGCAGGCTTAAGGTGGAACTAAGAATTAAGGCACCACACAGCACTTAACAATAAGGCTTACAGATGCCCCTGCTTTACTAAAGGGTGTGATTCAAGTCACACCACTCCTAGTTTTCCTTAGAAGCATGGTCTGAGTCCAATTTATAGGACGGCGTTGGCAAAGTTCACTCTCTTGCCCTGGATCTTGCATTTGGCTCATTACATCTGACCCCTAGTTCATGGGACTTCTGCCCATCACCTGACGTAATTTACCAGCTCCCACAGCCTTATGCAACAAACAGCCTGCCAATTTGGGTTCCTCAATTCCTAAGATTACGTGGGTGAGGAGAATCCTCCAGACTGGTGTCGGGACTATAGATTTGGAACTTGCCGTCCTCCACAATTGCAAGACCTTTCCTTTGACAGTAGTTGAGTTCTGTGAGACACTGAAGCATGTTGCAGAACCCTGGAACATGACTGAGGGGAGGAGTGATGACTGATATAAGGATTATGGAGTGGTATAACATGTTGTTAACAACCTGTGATATGCAGATGATACAACCTTGCTTGCTGAAAGTGAAGAGGACTTAAAACATTTATTGATGAAGATCAAAAGCACAGCCTTTGGTATGGATTACATCTCAATGTCAAGAAAACAAAAATCCTCATCACTGGACCAATAAACAACATTCTTATCAATGGAGAAAAGATTGAAGTTGTCAAGGACTTCATTCTTCTTGGATCAACTATCAACACTCATGGAAGCAGCAGTCAAGAGACCAGATGACGTATTGTATTAGGCAAATCTGCTGCACAAGACTTTTTTAAAGTGTTGAAGAGCAAAGATGTCAGCTTAAGGACTAAGGTGCACCTGATCCAAGCCTTGGTATTTTCAATGACCTCATATGCATGCAAAAGCTAGACAGTGAATAAGGAAGACCATAGAAGAATTGATGCCTTTTGAGTTACGGTATTGGAGAATACTAAAAGTGCCATGGACTGCCAAAAGAACCAATAGATGTGTTTTGGAAGAAGCGCAGCCAGAGTGCTCCTTAGAGGCCAAGATGGCCAAACTTCATCTCTCATACTTTGGACACATTGTCAGGAGGGAGCAGTCGCTGGAGAAGGATATCATGCTTGGTAGGTGGAGGGTCAGAGGAAAAGAGGAAGACTCCAATGAGATGGATTGACCAAGTGGCAGCATCGATGGACTCAAGCATGGCAACAATAGTGAGGTTGGCCCAGGATTGGGCAGTGTTTTGTTCTGCTGTGTGATCAAAAAAGCGAATCCATAAGGTCCCTATGGGTCGGTACCAACTCGATGGCACCTCACAACAATAACATGTTGAAAAAGTCAGACATTTGGGATATCTTTAACCTCCACCTCATAGGGACCAGTCTTATGCTGATCCTTCTAAAAGAAATTCATCATATAATAGGGCTCTTAGAGAAAGAAAAGTGAAAAACCAAACAACCAATTGCTGTCAATTCTGACTCTTGGTGAGTCCACGTGTGTCTGTAAAACTGTTGACAGAGTTTTCAGTGGCTGGTTTTTCAGGAGCAGATCACCAGGTCTTTTTATTGAGCTGCCTCTAGGTGAACTCAAACTGCCAATTTTCCATTTAGTAGCTGAACACATAACTATTTGTACCATCCAAGGACTCCTCTTAGAAGTTACCTGTCCAATTGTACTGACAATGCAAGAATTCCCTCTAAAATACCCCTGGAATTAAAAGTAACATAGGATCTTTTTGGGTAGAAGCTCTAGTTTATAGTTACTTTTGTTGTTAAGTGCTGTCAAGTTGATTCCAACTTATAGTGACCCTGTATAGCGTTTCCGAGGAGCAGCTGGTAAGCTTGATTGAACCTCCAACCTTGTGATTCAAACCAACTTTGTAGTCCAGCAAATTAACCCACAGCACCATGTAAGGACTCCTAGTTGATAGTTGTTGTTAAGTGCCATTGAGTCGGTTCCGACCCACAGCGACCCTGTATAGGGTTTCTGATGGTGTAAATCTTTACGGGAGTAGAAAGCCTCATCTTTCTCCCACGGAGCGGCTGGTAGTTTCGAACTGCTGACCTTAAGGTTTGCAGCCCGATTCGTAACCACTACGCTACCAGAGCTCCTTCTATATTGACTACAAAATTTGTTTTAATTGCTAATCCTTAATCCTTAGGTTCAGTTTTAAAGAAAACCTAGTAACTCACGCCATGAATACTTACAGCAAAGTTGATACATGCTTACCACCCATTTGGAAAATTAATTTGCTTGGAGTGCTGTTGGTAAATGCCATCAACTCACGGCAACCCTGTGTAGGGCTCCTGAGGAGCAGTTGGTGGGTTTAAACCACTTACCTTGTGGTTAGCTTATCCTATAGTGCCACACCAAGAATGATAAATTTGTTGTTGTTGTTGTTACATGCCATCAAATTGGTTCTAACTCATAGCAACCCTGTATAGGGTTTCCAAGGAGTGGCTGGTAAGCTTGAACCGCTACTCTTGTGGTTCAAACCAACTTTGCAGCCTAACGTATCAACCTGCAGCACCACAGATTATCAGTATGAATGTCTCCATCCTAGGCCAACCATTCTTGAAGAAAAGACCATCTACCTTATATAACTTGTTATTTTCTGGCTTAAACAGAGTGCCTTGCTCATAGTAGGTTCTCAAATATTTATTGAATGATGAATGAATGAAAGAAGTAAAGAATGTTGAATGAACTAAAATGAATGCCCTTTACTTAAAAACAAAACAAAATGAGCATAATATAGGTTTATTTCTTGAATTGTTTTGGAGTAAAAACAGACCACTCAGATATAGGAAATATTTCTCTAAAACTTTATTTCAAAGTTATTCACCTCTCTTGTTAATAAGGTGGACAGTTAATGCTCTGTGCCATTATTACTAGGCCTGCCCATTGCCGGCAATGGACTTTGAGAAAACCCATTTCCTGGCACCCAGAAGTTAAATTACTCTTTTCAAAACATACCCAACTCCCAATGCTTGCAAAAGTATTACATGCACTGTTTCCCATCAACCTTTCAATTTGAACTTACATCATTAATCTACATAAGTGGATGTTAAAATGAAGTCATTTTAACAAATTATGACTGTACAAATCAAAATACTACTGGATAATATTAAACAAGAGTATTTTACAAGCACTACATTACATTCCCTTGCAATTTGAAACATTACATTTCATATTGTGTAAGTTATTTTAGATAACTGAAACTTCACAGAATTTAACAGCAAATAAAGTTTTAAAAATGTAGTTCTGTACATTAGTTCCAACTACCTCTAATTTACAATCTATAAGGCTCATGTCATGGTCAGCACCAAAAAGATCTGCAAAACTGTCGAACCGGTGTTCTTATCCATCCCAGGAGATAGTTTTTGTTGTTGTTTTTTAAGGTGAAAGTCTAAGGAAATGTTTAATAAATTCTACCTCTAGGCCCTGAAGTGGAATACTCTTTTTGGCTCCGCAAACTATGTAAAAATTTGGGTTGTACCTTCTTATCGTCACTGGACAGATATAAACAAAAAGGAAAAAGAAAAGGCAGAACACTTCCACCTTGAATTTAGGTTGTCAGTCTTTAAGTGAAATTTATAATACTGAAGCAGCACAAGTAACCTAATATAATACCCTGCCCCTATCCTATACCTTTTGGCTTAAACATTTTAAAAAGGCAGGCAAAAAAAAGCATTCATTTGTCCTTCAAAATAAGGTGCAAAGAAGAATTGCAACAACAAACTTCCTCACGCATTGCTCCAATAAAATTGTAATGCTGTTCAGTACAAACCACTTTGGATTGATTTGGGAACAGATCTAGAACTACCAAATGGATCACGTTGTCTATACCAGCAGCCTCTAGATGCTAGCATCTCTCTGTGTGTAGAGGTCATTACAATAACTCACTCACTGCTGGGCTAGATTTAATCCAACACTACAGTTTTCAGAACCAGTGGTACCATCCTAACTCTTTCCCCTCCCTTCAAGATTAATAAATTTTAGAAAAAGAACACATTCAAACAGGGTTTGTATATATTGCATGTTAAGACTACATTCCCCAAACTAGGAACATTTTCAGTAATCTGACTTGTTCAAAGTATTACAAAATTTTTTACATATTTAAAAAAAATTTTTTTTTTTTTTTTAAATTGGAGACTAGAACCTTGGTTTTCTTCTGCCAGAAGCACACAATTCATTATACATTTAAAAGCTAAACTTCATGCATTACAAATAGCCATAGAGGTCTGAAGTTTTACAGAGCCCTTAACATCATTTGAGCACATTTAGCATTGGCTAAACCACAACAGGAAGCATGTTAGCTAAGACTTTTCAAAGAACACGATAGTTTTCCAGGCTCCATATCAGTTACATAAAAATTGAGGCAACATGTAATCCTTTAAAATTGTCCCTATTCCCCTAACCTTTCCCACACCCCATCCCCGACCCATACTGGTGTCTTGCACTGCACAGAAGTATCTTAATGCTCCCCATTACTGATGACAGCTGCTTCCGCTTCTGCTGCTGTGGCAGGAAGTCTTGGCACTTTCTTAGCAGGGCTTGGAATATGCTAAAATGCGAAGAAAAAAGCCGTTGGTTCTAAAGGCTTTAAAAAAAGTTAGTCATGACAGTAACTAAGTTTCTATGGAGAAACTGATAAAGAAAAACATGGGAAAGGCTTATGTTAAATATATTTCCTATATAATTTCATGGAGGGAAATAAATATCCATTTGTCACCTTATGGTATATTTATTAAATTACCCACACAACAAGAGAGGAAAGAAAGGAAGGCCACAAAGACCCATCAGACCCATCGTTTGTTACATCTTGCTTTGACAGCTCACGCACTGGAAGCTTGACAAGCGACTTAGTTTGTACAATATTAAGGAGGAAACCTATGCAGTCACCAAAATTGTGATAAACAGAAAAACAAAAGAAAGAACTTCAAGGTTATAAAGGTGTGGGTTAAAGCCTAGCTTCATGCTTACTAGCTAAGGTGCTGGGCAACTCAACTTGAATATTAATGTCTCAGAACCTCAGCTCTAAAATGAGGACTGCGGTAAGGGTTAAATAAGAGAATGTAACCAAAGTGAAATCACAGCTCTTCTTATTATTCCTTGACACTCTGGAGGCAAATTTTTGATAATGATCTAAGAGAAAAAGTGCTAATACTTTAAGTGCAAAGCACTTTATACACTTGGAAAGTGACAGAGCTGGAATCCGCTCCCGAAAGCTTTGCTCTGAATAGTACTGTTTCATTGGCATTCCTTTCAGTTGCTGAATCTGTTAGGTCCGCTAAACCCTGAGATGTGGGGACGGAAACCTCTTAACCTGTGTTAAAGCATAAGATAAGACAGAAATATCTCTACTTACCTCAGTTGCTGTGTTTGAATGCACAAGTCCTACTCCTTCCCCCAAAGTGTCATCATTTGGAGAGGGACGCCGAGCATAAGTTCTCCTGTGCATCTCATCCACTCTAACTAGGTACCACGTTCCTTCAGCGAGGGAGTCGATTGAACCCTGGGGAATATAATTGACTAAAAGAAAGGCAGAGAATATGAAAAAAAATTAGTCACGATATCTAACTCACCTAACAAAAAAACTGAAAGAAGTATTTTTCCCCTATAATCTTTACCTATAAAAATTACTATCAAATAAAGCCTATATATCGCTACCCTACATGTAGCATGTTTAATATTACTCTTTGTCATGGATTCAGTTGTGTTGCCCTCAAATAGCTTTCAACTAGGTAAGCTATGATTCCCAGTATGGTCTGTTAGCCCCCATTTGTGATTAGATGGAATTATCCTCCATTCTGTGACACATGTTGGGAATCCCATCCTCTCTATATGTTAACGAGGCGGGATTTGGGGGGCGGGGGCTGGATCTTGAGTCGAAACCTTACAGGTTTAACTCAAGTCCCACCCTTGAGTCATACTTTATCTTACAAGAGATAAAAGAGGAAACAAAGAGCAGAGAAAGAAGGACCTGACTATCATCAAGAAATAAGAGCACATCCTCTGGACCTAGGGGTCCCTGCACTGAGAACATCCGAGACCCAGGGGAAGACTGATTCCAAGGCATATGGAGATGTACCAGGACTGCCCAAACCCACAGCTGTTGAAAGGAGACCATGTCCTTCCTCTAGAATTAACACAGAGAACATCTTCTCCTAGAGCTGCCCAGATTCGGACTTCTAGACTCCTAAACTGTGAGACAATACATTGTTAAAGTTATTCACTTGTGGCTGTTCTTATAATGTTATCTTGTGTGCTTTAGCAGCACAGGATAACTAAGACACCCTCCAGGGGGCTTTTGGATATATATTTATGTCTTTAAACACAATTTAGACATTTTACCCAAGTGATGAGTTTCTTCTCTGAGCTTCATGGTTTCAGCAAAGACATCTGGTGCCACACAAGTTCTTGAGTCAAGCCTTGATTTAAGGTCACATAAACTTGCTGTTATTTTATCAAGAGCAGACCCTAAAGTAGAAATCATTCCAGCATTAAGACTAAAAATAGTATGCCTAAATGAAGCCTGTATGAACTACTGCAAAAGCAATTAAAACCAGCTTTTCATTTCTCTTAGAACTAATGGCTACTGTTCAGTTAGTAGGTAAGATGGGATCTATTTGACAAGGCCATCTATGACCATGACCCCTGACTGTAGAATTGTTTCAACATTCTCCAAGAGATGAGTTAGGACACTGGTGGGATCTGAAGCTAATTTTAAAGAAATATCAAATTATCCATCAGTTTTTCCCTGCACAGCAAAGGCATTAAAAGTTTCCTCAAATAGAGCCACAACCATAAGCCCTCTATAAAAAAAATTAAGATAATTTAGCATAAAAAAACAAAAAGAAATGATTCTGATGTAATTAACTCATACCATCAGACTCAATCACTGGTGCAAAAACTAAAATGCTAACTGCCTTACATATATATGCGTGCCCTTCCATACTTATTCAATCTTCTAGATACACATGCTTTTTTCAAAAAAGAAAAAAAAATGAAATAGAAGATAAAGTTATTTGCTAAAGAAGGCAACACAATGCCATAATTGTTTAAAAGCTAATCTTTTTTTTTTTTTTTTAACTTGATAGAATGATATCCTGACTCTGACACAGTCTTGCCTTTGGCCCAGTTAAGGCAAATTTTTAGGGTAGAGAGTAAAAATCATGCCTGTGTTGAAAGAAGTAATAAAAATAAAAATGCTGTAATGATCTATGAGACAGATTTACATGCTCACTGGATAAGTCTTCTGAATGAACCCTATCACAGCACGCTCTCAACTCTCGGTCCCTGAAAGCCTTTGCACTCACCTGGTGTGGCATCTTGTGTAACTTTAAGGGAATACAAGGTGGCAGCTAACCCAGAACCATAAGAGAAAATTCCAATCCTCTTCCCTGCCAACTGCTGAAGTGAGAACCTGTAGAGCAAAAATGAGTAAATGAAAGATCATTAAGAACTGTAATCCCCAGGCTCAATGGATGGAAGCCAAATAAGTCAGAATGGCATTGCATACTACAGCCTCAGAGATCCAATTGTACATTTTTAATATTACAGCACAGTACCAAAAGGAACTGGTTAATGTTAACATTTCAAGAAGTATACCATATGATCAAGAGCCAATGATATTGAGGGAGGAAGTCCAAGGTGCACTGAAGGAATTGGCAAAGAACAAGGCACCAGGAATTGATGGAATAAAAATTGAAATCTTTCAAGAAAGTAAGGCGGCACAGGAAGCACTGACTCATCTCTGTCAAGAAATCTGGAAGACAACTATCTGGCCGACTGACTGGAAGAGATCCATATTTGTGCCCATTCCAAACACATGTGACCCAACGGAATGCGGAAATCATTGGACAATCTCTTTGATATCCCATGTGAGTAAAGTTTTGCTAAAGGTAATACAGAAACAGCTACAATCATACATTGACAGAG